CTAGGAGCAGGAACGCTACTATAGGGGCTCCTGGCATCGCTACTAGGAGCAGGAACGTTACTATAGGGGCTCCTGGCATCGCTACTAGGACCAGGAACGCTACTATAGGGCTAGGAGCAGGAACGCTACTAGGGGCTCCTGGCATCGCTATATACTAGGAGCAAGGAGGCTCCTCACATCACTACTAGGAGCAGGAACGGTACTATAGGGGCTCCTGGCATCGCCATATACTAGGAGCAAGAATGGCATCGCTACTAGGAGCAGGAACGCTACTAGGAACGCTACTATAGGAGGGAGCTCCTGGCATCGCTACTAGGAGCAGGAACGCCACTATGGGAGCTCCCGGCATCGCTACTAGGAGCAGGTGAACGCTACTATAGGGGCTCCTGGCATCGCTACTAGGAGCAGGTGAACGCTACTAGGAGCATATAGGGGCTCCTGGCATCGCTACCATAAGCAGCAACGCTACTATATAGGGGCCTGGCATCGCTACTAGGAGCAGGAACGCTACTGTAGGGGCTCCTGGCATCGCTACTACTAGCAGGAACGCTACTAGGGGCTCCTGGCATCGCTACTAGGAGCAAGAACGGTAGTAGGGGTCGTGGAGCAAGAACGCTACTAGGGGCTCCTGGCATGGCTACTAGGAGCAGGAACGCTACTATAGGGGCTCCTGGCATCGCTACTAGGAGCAGGAACGCTACTATAGGGGCTCCTGGCATCGCTACTAAGGAGCAGGAACGCTACTATAGGGGCTCCTGGCATCGCCATACTACAAACAGGAACGCTAGTATAGGGGGTCCTGGCATCGCTACTAGGAGCAGGAACGCTACTATAAGGGCTCCTGGCGTCGCTACTAGGACTCCTGGCATCGCTACCCTGGCATCCCTACTAGGAGCAGGAACGCTACTATAGGGGCTCCTGGCATCGCTACTAGGAGCAAGAACGCTACTACTCTGAGGGTCTTTATAAGTTGTGGCTGTTATAAGTTGTTGTTTATATACTAATTATGTCCACGAGTTCCGCAAGTACTACCTGCAGTTACGGAACTTCGTAAGTTCAACTTGGTAAGTACCGCGGAAGTAAGTTGTGTTACTCAGCGGCACATACGCGCTACTTACAAAAACATTGAATTTTGAACTTATAGTTTATCTACTCAGATTAGCTTTTACATACACGCAGCAGCGTCAATCCGGCTCAAAACGCGCGCTCAAACCGCAGTCGAGCAAGACTTTTGGCATGAGTGGTTGCAGTTGGGAACCTTGTGTGAAAGCAATGGACCTGGAGCAGGCTCTGAAGAGTTTGGAGCCCAGCCAACAGGAAATCAGGCATGCATTTGAGCGCGCTAGCAGACCAGACCATTTGTCTTGTGCGGGAGTACCTCCGGAGGAGGAGGCAAGCCTGATAGAAGCTTTACTTTGAAGCTGCTGGTTTTGCTACTGAGTTCTGGCTGTTAAGACTATTACTACCTACACTACAAGGATATTACAACTCACTAACAAGGTGTTATAACTTGTTATAACCTGTTATACTTGCTTCAAAGTTTATTGTTGGTTAAGTGAGTTATCTAATGTTTTAACTTTTCCACTAACATGTTTAATTGTCTTAAAAATTTAAAGAAGTTAGTAAAAAGTAATGTAAGATACAGATATCAAAAAACAGTTTTAGCAATTTTGTTTTATGCTTACTCGCTAAAGGTTTTCAAGTTTTCACTAAAAGAAAATTTTGTTTGTGTACCACATAAGATATAGCTTGCACGAGTTGTTTCAACATTGGAAGCTGATTTCATCTTAAGCAAATGTATGCTCACTATAATGAATATTTTTGTTTGCCAGCTGATGAAAGCTTCTGCCCATGAAGTCATATTCTACACATTAACATAAATATAAAATTAGATTCTCAAGTCAAGTGTATGTGTCTATGATCTATCAACTCAGGACCCTGAGAACGATGTGCCTCGTGGTTGGATGAATAAAGCCTGCGCCCTTGTCCATGCATACAAGACTGGACACATCAAGTACCGCAAGAAGGCGCTGACAAGGTTGGCAGAGCGCCATAGCCTGAGGAAGCCCATGGAGATGCTCAGCAAACAGGTTGAGCAGCATGGTGAGAGGGCGTATGACAAGTGGATCTAGAGTAGATCTGTCATGACTGTGCATCTGCGAGAGACTTTCAAGAATGAAAAAAGAATTGGAGATCAGTGAAGAAGCCTGTATAGGCTCAAAAAATGGCAGCCTCTACAGGCATACATTCTAGCCTGTGTAGGCTGGTTAAGCATATGATTTTGAATTCATGGATTTGAATTCAAAATCAGAGAAAATGTTTTTGAATTCAGGGATTTGAATTCAAAATCGCGGAATATGATTTTGAATTCAGGGATTTGAATTCAAAATCACAGAATTTGATTTTGAATTCAGTGATTTGAAGTCAAAATCACAGAAATGATTTTGAATTCAGGGATTTGAATTCAGGGGATTCAAAATCACAGAATTTGATTTTGAATTCAGTGATTTGAATTCAAAATCACAGACTATGATATTTTGAATTCAGGGAGTCAGTAGTTTGGATCCAAGGTCATAACCGTTTACAGGCTCAAATATTTTTGTCTTGGAAATTCATGATTGAACACCATATAATCCACATGCACATTTACGATTCTATGTGCTCTTGCAGTGTGTGATACACATGCAAAGTGTTGGTCTATACTAGTCCTGCAGAGTGCAGCCATGTCCCGTATGTCATTGGCGACACTACTTTGGATGGTGGTGAAGATGCTCAAGCCATCGTTTTTGAATATGGTGCACCAGCCAGATGGGCATTACAATGTATACTTCACATGTGCACATAGCTTTTGCAAGCTTATGTTCTGGTCGGCGGTTAGCTTTTGCAAGCTTCTGTTCTGGTTTGTGGTTTTGCCCCACTGAAGGCTACTGCCTGTAAAGGCTCTTGAAGGATATGCCTATGTTGCAGCACCACCTGCAAAATCAGCTGCTTGTAGCTGCAATTTTCTTTGATTTTTGTAAAAACATTTTACGCTGCAATTGGAGACTCTTTTTCTAGCACTTTGGAAAACCAAACACAATGGACAATGCAGCACATTTTGTTGCCATTGCGAAATCATTGGAAGCTTCCTAGGTTGGAAAACAAATCATGGTGTATGATTTGAAATTTTAAATACCAACATGTTTGGTTGAAACATTCCTGGGATGTACTTGCGCTTGTGTCTTTTTGTTGCCCAATAGTTAGTTTGAAAGTACAAATATCCTTTTTTGCAAAACAAAAATGCAAAATTGTCTTTGTCACTCTTGAAAAATTGTCAATAGAATTTTTGAAAAACAACCTTTTGCTAACTAGTTTATAAACACCTATAACTAGTTACTGATTACTTAGCTAATGTCCTTAACAGCCATAACTCAATAGTAAAACCATCACCGTTCCAATATGGGTGGGGGGGTCCAGAGAGCCACTTTATAGACATAAAACGCTGAAGCCGGCCTCCTGGGGGAACCTAATTTGAGCTACCTGACCAAAACACTCAAACCCTAAATTGAATCTACCTGACCTGCCTATCTTTGTCTTAATCTCCAGCAAAACTGGCAAAATGCTCGCCAAGCATTGTCAGCAAAACCATGAGCGACATGTTTTTCTCCTCCAACGCCTGTCTGTCAAAGACCTTGATCTAGCTAAGAAACCCTACATCCCAAAAGCTTCCAAAGACACACTCCACGACACTAGATCTACACTATCATCAAAGATAGACAACCAAAACCAACAAAAGATACATACAAAAAAAACTTGATTAGACTTGTTGGCTGGACCACTAGAGCTGAGAGAGCTAAGAAGGCTGAAAGATAAGGATGAAGAAACTAGATTCACTGAAATAGGAACTTTGGGGGGTCAGGAAAACTCTATAAAATGACCTGACCTGACCTCCAAACCTGCCCTTTTTCCTGCGCACCACCTCCCTTCCAGGAATTCCCATAAGTTTCTTGAAGACCAGGCCTGCCGTGAGGGTGGTGGTTGGGGTTGGCTGGGCCACTAGAGCTGAGAGAGCTAAGAAGGCTGAAAGATGAGAAGGATGAAGAAATTAGATTCAATGAAATAGGGACTGTGAGGGTTCAGGAAAAATCTATAAAATGACCTGAACTGACCTCCAAACCTACCCTTTTCCCCGCACCACCTCCCTTCCAGGAATTCCCCATGAGTTTCCTGAAGACCAGGCCTGCCGTGAGGGTGGTGGCTGGGGCTGGCTGGGCCACTAGAGCAGAGAGAGCTAAGAAGGCTGAAAGATGAGAAGGATGAAGAAATTAGATTCATGTCAGACCTGCTTACCTTTCCTATATCTCCTATTCTTTCATAGTATTTCCATCACTTGTCTGTTGCTCATGAGCAAACATTACCATCTTGCGGGCGCTTCAGAAAAGTAATAGAAAGCAGCGGCGCCATCATGCAAAAGTAGTTTCCTCCATAAAATGAGGGGCTGACCCCCCCAAGGGGTAGGGGCCATATTTCAAAATATGGAGGGTGGACCCCCCTCATTTAATAGAGGCTATTGGCACTATGATGTAAAACCAGCAGCTTCAAAGTAGACTTCTGCGCGCAGGAAGCCCAGGAAGAAAAAGAGAAGTTGATGGCTGCTTGCAGGGAGTCGGCGTCTGCGACCGCGGGCTCGGCGCGACGCGCCTGGGAACGCGCCTGAGGACGCGCCCGTGGACGCGCCTGCAGGACGCGCCTGGGGACGCGCCTGAGGACGCGCGCGTGGACGCGCCTGCAGGACGCGCCTTTAAAAGGTGCCTGAAAAGCGGACATATACTGCGTGTTCCCACCGCGGGCGCGCCGGGGCCCCCAGGACTGTCCTCCCGCGTGCAACCGCGTGTTCACCGGGCGGTCTGCGCGCAAACGACAGGGAACTGCGCCCAGGGAGGGCGCGCTGCAGGGAACTGCGGGTTCCCAGGACTGGCCTTTGCACCAACAACCGGGAAGTGCGCAGCTGTATACCCAACACAAGGCGAGAGAGAAGGCAAGCAGCCACAAGGCAAGTATAGCGACAAAGGTCACACTCGCGCGCGCAGAACAGGAGACAATAGCGTTGTCTTCACGTTCTGATGGACACAGAACGCACACAGTCGCGGTCAAGAAAAAGGAGGTTCCGGCAGCGCCATATCGCGTTCAGGGCATGTACGTTTTGTGGTTTTTGGCGATGTCCGCGGAACGTCCGCGGATGTCCGCGGGACTGGGGCTGCTTATTAAAGTAGATAGGGGCCAACGTCCGCGGAACGTCCGCGGCCTCTAGTGGATATTTCTTGAAAATAGGATATTTGTATGCGCGCGGCTTTCTGGCTCGGCGCTGTTTCCGCGCACATATTAGTCGCCCCTGGACATGGCCGGCGCGGAGACGCAGAGACTTTCGTGGCAACAAAGATGGACGACACGCGCGCGCTCTGCTGTCGACCAGGCACGGGGCGCCCACGTGACGCACGCTTCCTTTGCGTTGACTGCGAGTCAACTCAAAGACTGGCTCGTCGGAACATGGGACGCGCTTTCAGATCTGCTCAGAGCTCCGACGGCTGTCTTACGTGATTGCACCGCTTGATTCCAGACAGGTTCAGAAGTTGAGACGCCTTCAAAGCCAACACCAGGAGCTGTTCCGGAGAGCTTGGGGCGACGACCTCGTACGGCCCAAGCATCACCACAGATTTCACATTCCCAGTGCTTGCGAGCAGTTGCGGTTCTTGCCGCACTGCACCATTCAAGAAAAGAAGCACCAAGAAATCAAACATGGTCTGGTTGATTGCTTGGAAGGTTGCTGCGGCGACTCCCTCCGCTTGCAGAGAGCCATGCTTACTCGTTTGGTTCTGCGCAACGCCGAGGACAGTCAGAGATATGGCATGGGCGAGTGGGGTCTGGGGAAACCTGAGAAAGAGGCCACGAGGGAAGAAAAGCTCTCTTTCAGGGACAATGGACTTCTCTGCGCAGACAGCGTCTTGATGTGGAAGAGAAAGATTGCCGTGGGCGACATGGTGCTCACTGACAATGTAGCCGGCCAATTCATCAAGGCGGTTTCTGGCCCTGCGTGCGGGCTGTATCTGCACTTGCAGACTATGGAGAAAATCACAGACCACCCATGGGGTAGTCGATGGAAGACATCAGGCCTGAAGAAGTGGTGGAAGCCACAGCCAGACATCGACGTGACGCTTGCTGCTTGGTGGTGTTTCGTAGGATCCGACGTGTGTTGCCTGCATTAGTTGAAAAAAGACTGCTCGAGAGCATGCGTCATGGTGTCTAAAACATACAAAACCGCAACAAAACAGTGAAACTATGCGGTGCATACGCGGTACTTATGCGCTCCGCGTAAGTACCCCGAGTAAGTTCAACTTTTTTCCAGCCATACCTCGCGCCGACCTGGTCCGGACGGGCTTATTGCAAGGCGTTGGCACAGCCAAAGAACGGTAATTAAAAATCTCTGTTCAATGCGGCTGCATATATTCTTGCATCATCGGTGTTTTCATCGAAATTATGATGTCTCAAAACGTTTTCGTATGCAAATTTCTTTGTGATATGCAGCCAGTAAGTTCAACTTAAGTGCGCGTACAACTGACGCGACTCTACGTATGAGTATAACGACCCTTGAGTAGGGGCTTCTGGCATCGCTACTAGGAGCAGGAACGCTACTATAGGGGCTCCTGGCATCGCTACTAGGAGCAAGAACGGTACTAGGGGCTCCTCGCATCGCTACTAGGAGCAGGAACGCTACTATAGGGCTCCTGGCATCGCTACTAGGAGCAAGAACGGTACTAGGGGCTCCCGGCATCGCTACTAGGAGCAGGAACGCTACTAGGGACTCCTGGCATCGC